CGCTACAGAGTTCAAGGGCTAGTCAATATCACAGAATTGTTACGAAGTACTACTATGGGCCATTTTCACAGTCATTAGTTAACTACTATGCTAATATTAAACCACCATTTTTCATTTCACAGTATTAGTTTTACTAATGGCTGACTGCAGTTAACTTAATGTACATCCATTAGTTAACCAATAGTTAAAAACAGCTGACTGGGAAAACAGGCCCTATGCGGATATTACTAAAAAAGGTGAAGTAACTCTCAAAAAAAAAACATTTTAAACAGTTTTGGAATTTAAAAGAGTAGCTGCATGGTGGGGCACCCAAAGTAGCCGGTGGGAAATTTCTTATTTGCACGAACTTACCACCAGCGTTTTATTTGATCAAACGTTATGATAACAATGTAGTCAGTGGCGGATTTGCAGCCCTAGACCTTGAAATACCAGCCACCCCTTTCTCAGCTCCCATATTTGGGTACTACATATGAATTTACTTTTTTATCGACTTCTATGTTTGTGATATTATAAATGAGGGTTTGGTAAGCGATGTTGGTTGTGGAGTCTTTCGGAAGGTGCATTAGATCGAAGCCAGAGTGGTCGATATGATTTAAGTACTTTACTTGGTTTGTGGTCCATTTTGAGTTCCAGAATACACTGATTGACTCTTTCTAGTATCAATATCAATTTGTTCGTTTTTTTTTTTCTGCGCGTATGGGGTAAATAGTTGTTATTATATTGCAGTAGTTGTGTTTCCGAAGGCATTAGTATTATTGTTGTTGTTATTGTTGTTGTAGATGGTATCAATTTTCCTCAAGCTTGATTTTGGGGAGTGCCCGTATATTGCTTATCCATATTCAATCTTGGGAATAGGTATTGCTTCGATTATATTTATGGTAACATTTGGGATGCGCGTTGCTGTGATAGCTACTAATACATTTGATTAATTTAGCCTTTTGTTTAATGCCTCTTTCAAATAGTTAATGTGGGACGTAAAATTATATTTGTTGTTAAATACTACACCTAGTACTTAAAGTTTAGTAACATATTCGATTCTGTAGGAGTTTATATAAATAGGCGGAAGGCTGCGTTCCTACATATTGGAGTGCTTTTGTTTTTGCTACAGAAAGTTTAGCGCCGGTGATGTCACACCAGTCGGCAATCTCACAAAATAGCGAATCTAAATTTTGGATTGTGTTTTTGTCTTTGGTGTTAACTATGACATAGAGATCATCCGCGTAGATGCAGCGACTGAAGGATGGATGTCTTATAGTTTAGTGTTTCGATTGCGATTAAAAATGGTGTTACTGACAATGGGGATCCCTGTGGAATTCTATTGATCAGAGGCATAGTATTTGAAACGTGAGAGTTGCAACTCGGTCTGAATTTTCTATTCGTTAAGAAGGAAATAGTGTATCTAATTAATTTTGGGCCCAATTTCCATTCCTTAAGTTGATCGATAATAGCATGTATTCCGATGCGCTCAAATGCCTTTTCGAAGACAACGGGAGGGTACCCCTCGATCCGGTTTTTGGGTTTGAGGTAAATATCTATGGTAAATTTCCGAAATAATTCGAATTTAGAAAAATTGTGAAACTCGTACTTTTCTTTTATCGTTGTGAACAGATAATTCCAAAAAAAAGCTCGACCTTCGAAAAAATGGTGGCCCACTTTACAAATTTTTACTTTGTTTGGGTAAATGGTTTTAAGATCTTCAGATCGTAGCCATTGTCACTCTTCTCATTCTCATTATTTATACTGCACTGAGTACGAAGATGGAGACATTCCTCTGAAAAATTGTATTCTATTAGCTATATTTATAAAAAATATAGTAGGTTTGGAAAAAGGATTATAAATTGAAAAACGTATGAAAACGACATTTTATAAAACTTTTTAAACGGTCTTTATTTTTTATGAATAGGGCCATAAGTCTGTGGAAAAAACCATTTGTTATGCTTTGGCCTTTTCTTACACCTATATTGAATTTACACGAATTTACTTTTGATCGTGCATATCTGGTTGCCATCAGGGTATTTTTTGCCATATCGGCCACCCTATTGGGCCTTAGGGCAAATCCGTCACTGGCTGTAGTAATGGATGAATGTGCATGAAGGAATGTTCAAAATGTAACTTATTTGGGAAAAATTTAGAGAGATAAATATTTGCAAGAAACTGCGTCGACATTAGCGAAAAATTCTGTTTTTGGTTGGAGAACTTTCTTACTTGCCAACTCATACGTATCTAATGCTGTTTCTCGGAATATTTCCCTGTCCGGAGACCGAGACTAAATTCTCTGGGCATCGCGTAGATAAATAGTTTACAACCATTCTTCATCCATTGCTGTCTTCGAAGAGTTAAATGGAAGCCTGATTGAAAGAATAGACGGCGATCTTGTACTTTATTACAAGAGAGCTCCTGGAGCAGAGATCAGTTTTTTTTTGTATTTATTAATTCAGCTTGGAAGACACCACAGTACCGCCAGGAGACGAGCCGCAGAAGCATGTATATATGTAGTTATTCCAAATGGATGTTTCAGCCGATTTTATTATTCATTTAGAGTCATCACTGAAGATTGAAATGGAACTAGAGTCATGCTTTTTATGCTTTAACATTCTCTCGTCTCGCTCGGGGTTCTAGTCGAAAACTTATTAGGGGTATTCTCTGAGACTTGCAAAGCCCTTGCATGGTGCACAGATTGCACGGATTGCACGGTAAAAACCGGGTTTCGTATGGGACAGCTTTGCAAACCGTGCAATCCGTGCACCGTGCAAGGGCTTTGCAAGACTCAGAGAATACCCCTATTATAAAAGCAGAGTCGAGGAAAAGTATAATCTAGCTAGATATAATACCTAGAATTTTAGTGTCAAAATTTAGCCTCTCACCAGGGTAGGTAAGATTTTTGCCTAGCATAATTTCAGTAAGACTGGAATTTATCATAAAAAAGACCGAAGGAAGTTTTGGGGTTCTAAGGAGTGTTTGATGTTATCCATAAGAGAGTTGATGGAGGGGTAGAACAATCTAAATCTATTCGGGTGGTAAAAAATGGAAAATCTGAACTTTTCCCGTTCGTAACCTCTAATTAGATAATTTGCCTGTCGAAGGCATCTATGGAGACAAACGCCAATTTTCTTCTCTCACTACACTTCGCTGCTTCATTGCTTCGGGCCCACTTGAAGTTTATTTATTTATGTCTGCAATATAATTTTCCTTTTCCTGATTTCGTTTTACTCAAAAACCGGATGCCAAACTTCAATGTGTCAAGATTGCGTAAATTGGATAAAAATTCTATCAGATTTACTTCGGATAGATGATATAAAAAGCTAGTTTCCTTTGAAAGCATGCCGAAAATCTGTGATCTTTTTAAAGCGTTTAGCCATAAATTAAAAGCCTAGAATAAATCTAAATTTTAATTGCCAATTTATTTAACCAAAATCCCCAAGTAAGCTGCCTTTACATAGAAAGTGGGTTACTAATACTTGACCAAATTTACATACATTCTTACATACGTAAGTCCATACACAAATACGTGTACGTGGGTAGGTATGTGCGTGCACTATAAACTTTGGTAGATAATTTGATGGCTTGTAAGAGGGAATTGGTGCCACTTGAGACATCAATTCGGCTGCTGCTTCATACATCCAGTGGCCAGAGTTAAGTGAATTTGTGAATGCGAAAGCAAAGTTGTTAATGGCCACAGTAGCAGTCAAAAAAAATATTGCGTATGACAAGCACAGCTTGCAAAGATATGTACATACATACAGCTGTATGCATGTATTTACGAGCTTAAGCATATCTTCAGCTATGTAATCTCAGCTCATCTCGACGCGGACGAGACAATGACGTACATCACACATCTGTGTAGCTAAGCTTAAGACTTTCGTTGAAACCTAATTGCTTACATTTTATGAGAAGTACCAGAATAAAAGAAAACTAATGAAGACTATAAACAATGCATAGCTTGTTTGTTTTTTTTTAATCTGATTTTCGGCGACAACAATCTGCGTTTGATGTCGAGGGCAGGCTACCCGCTGGCTACCACTTGAGCGCTGTGAGGGTTCGTCGAACGCAAATTTCGATTGTGAAAACTTACACTTTGTATTTACTTATATGAACTTTTTTTATCCATATTCTGTTGTTTTGCTCTTCATAGCGGCTACGCAAATGTCATTTATAACCCGAAATGCGTGGTCAAGGTCAGGGGCGTATACGCAACCAAGTACGCAAGAGTTAGCGCATTTGCCAATAGCAGCCCTGGCTGCCTCAATTGTTAATTGCCTATGCCGATAATTGATAATTGTATTTGCAGCTGAAAGACATCTATTAAGCGCTTCTATGAACATTGAACTTGCGTGCGATTCGCCCAAAGCAATTGTTCGACAGATTGAAAAAAAAATTTAATTTAATTGGCTGGGGCTTTTGTGTGCCGATTTCATTTGATTAGTGTGGATTGTTTGAAATTTGAAATGCTTCATTGTTAATAGTTAGGCTTTCTGGATCCTTCGAGGAAAAATGTCTATGAACGTGTGCTCGTTGCATGGTAATTAAGAAATGAGTAATGCCGGATTTCCTCCATTCATTAAACGACAAAGATTTTAATAACAAAGTCGAGTATAAAAAAATTTTCGTGTCATTACGTTAAAAAAAATGATCATGGTATTTTTTCATTGCCTCAAATTTTTTGTCATTTCAATGCCTAGTGGAAATTCGGTATATGTTATCTACAAATTTTTTCGAACGAAAAAATAGAAATTCACAAAAAGGGCACTCAAATATACCGGAAATCGTTCAGATACTACTTCGAAACTTGCTTTGCGGCCTTTAATCTTGGAAATCAGATTCCTTAGAAAAGATTACGATTATTTCCCGTCGGACAAGGAATTTTAAATATAAACTTTTCCCTAACAATTGCAATCAGTTTCAGTTTTTTCCATCTTTTTGCCATTTTTTGTTTTTCCATTTCGATCCATGCGTGAACGTGTTCAATTTCGAATTTCATTGTTCACTTTTCATGTCTGTAGAGCTTCATAATCGAAAGTGGCAACACGTCAGCAGTGAATACAGTTACAGCAACTACAGCTCGAACAAAAGAAGAAGAAGAAGAAGAGGAAGAAGTGACAGCTAGCGACAACAGCAGCATTGACTTTAGCAGAAGTAGCAACAGCAGTCAGCGCCTACCCCGACGCACACTCACCTCACCACCACCTCCCAAGCCACCCAAGCCACTCAAGCTGACAAAGTGCCATAGCAGTGATTATCAGTTGCAACATCATCTGCTACTCGTCGACTTACCGAACTATCAACAGCAACACCACGAACATAATCAAATCAATCACGCGCTTCGACAGCCGCCACATAGACATCAGCAACATAAACCTCCACATCAGCATAAGCATCAATATCATCACTATCATATCCATAATAAGCCGAAAACCCCACCAAATTCACAGCAAGTACAACAAAAAGAGCAACAAAGCGATAGCAGTAACTTAATGCCTTCACTGGATTATGGTGTGCCGCCACCGCTGCCACCAAAACCGAAAAGTTTATTGCAACACATCAAACCGCAGCAACAGCAACAGCAACAGCTTCAGGAGCAACAACAATATCAGCTGTTACAGCAACAAAAAATATTACAGCAACAATTGCAACAACAGTTACAGCAACAGCTGCAGCAAGTGCTTAAACCACAACAGCAGTTACTGGCTGAGCCGCAACAACAAAACGATCAGCAGCAGCAACAAAAGCAATCGCGGCGAAATTCCAATGACACCACCACACATCATCAGCAACAATCACCTAAATCACCAAAGCCGCCGCCATCACCACGTACCTCAAAATCCCCACTACCGCCAACGTCATCCTCACCGCTCGCACTTCAGTCTGCTGGCAGCAAGAAGGACGCTGCGAAATCGCCAACGCAATCACAAACGCAAACTCAGACATTTCAATTCCATCGTTTCCATCATCACAAATCGGCGCCCACATTTGATCTCTTCTTCAAATCGCCCACGAATTCATCCAGTGCCACGCCCCTATCCAAATCACGCCGCAACAGTTCATATCATTCGTACGATGATTTGGATGCAACGAGCGCCGAGAAGAAAGTTGTATCCAGTTTGAAATATTTGTGCGCCTGCACTGGCGCCACTTTGCGAAATCTCTCGAAGAAAACAAAAGATTTACACGCGAAGAATTACTGTTACACGAAGGTAAATCGATGGGTGAGAAAGTGTTTGTAGAGTCGTAGAGGATGTTAACCTACGTAGCAAGGGTATACTATTTCGAGATATGTAATTGTTTTGTTTGTATTGATGAAAGGCAATTAGAGTTATTGATATGAAAAACTTTTGCTTTCGGTAAAGTAGCGTTACTCTTATTAACAGATTTAGCTACTCATAGTGTGAAAAATACATCGATAGTGATGCCGATAACACGGTGGTATATGTATGTACATTAGACCGTACCACCTTACAAACAAAAAAAAACAGTTCGCTGTACTCCCCTGAGTAAAATATTTTTGCAAGGCAATTTGGAAACAAAAATTTTGTTTTGACGGACCAAGGGGTCGTGGGTAAGTACAAGTACGGGTGCGTGAGGTCAATGAACTTTGGTAAAAAAAGGTCTCTTCGATAAGAACCATCGATATATTATACTTTAAGCTCCGACTGAGAATACCGAAGATATGACGAGAAATGTAAAAGCCGACCCGAATGTATTTGAAATTTGAAAGAAACTTAAAGAATTCAAATGTTTCTTATCGGAAACCTGTACTTAGGTATGTAAAATGTTAAGCTTTGCTTAAGAATCGGGAATAAGCGATGTGAATTGAAACCTCAATCATCCCTGCGAGCCACAAAATCCCCTTTGATACACAGACCTATGAAAAGATCAAGTATGGCGTTTCAAGTGTTACGCGTGTGAAGGGAGTTAGCTATTTGAATTTATTTTTAACCGACTTCAAAAAAAGGAGAAGCTTATAAATTCATCGGAATTTTTATTTTTTTTTATTTATTTATGTTACCGCATAAATTTTCCCCCTTCAATCAATTTCTATAATTCTTTTTTTTTTTTAAGAAAAGGTGGTACCTACCATTTTAATTTGGTTCAGATGCGATCTTTGGATCATTAGGTAATTAACGGTACTTTTAAATTTTTATATGAGAATTGAAGTCAGTTTTGTTTTTTGCTTAAAAATTACTTATCAATAAAGTAAATCGGAAATATCCAACTTTCTGTTTCGATTTAGAATCCCCGCCTGTCAGCATATCTGCCAGCTTGCTAGATTTTCATAAACTATTTCGAAAAGTAAGCCAAAGTAAATATTTAAATTGAAACAAGCGTAAACGTCACAAATAGAATTTAGTATGCCACTTATTATAAATTCAATAAATTTATTTTATTTTCTATAAATTTTAGGCCATAGTAGCATTGACGTTCACATGTATGTATGTGTATATGTGCTGCTGCATTCCACTGACAATTTATGGCTGTTGCAGTTTGTTTACTTTTGCTTAAAATTATTCTCAATTTTATTTATAATTTTGTGCGTAGAGCAAGAATTTTGTGTTTCTTAAATATCATGAAAAGCCGTACGGAAGCAAGTCAGACAAAGCGTATTTTGCGACTTAAAACCGGTTTATAGACATAACTCTCTTGCTCTTTGTTCAATATGTCGCTCATTCATTGGGAAGGAGATCCGCTTTTTTAACATACATACATACATATACATTTACATACATATACAATAGCCTCATTCTATTGCTACCGACTGACAAAAGAGCACTAGGCAGGATAATCGTATACATACAAGCAGACACACAAACTATGCTATTTATCCGAGTTGAGCCAGGTTAGTTAACAAATATGCAACCTCTTAAGTAGTGTGACAAATCAAGGAAACTACGTCATTGTGAATGAGTGAAGTTATTTGGGACATTTTTATTTTGACAATTGGATATTTGATTCATATTGAATTTAAATTTAAAAACAGATGGCACCCTTATTCAGAAAGTAAAAAAAAAATATTCCAAATGTTTCATCTCCAGCCGTTTCTGAGTGAAAGGAGCTCTTGCGTGGTGTTGGTATTTCATTTAATCAAATTTCAAATCATCCGGCACCGCTAGAAAAATTCTTACTTCAAAAAATCAAATCTTATTACACATCTACAGGCGCAGTGCTTAAATTTGACGTTTAATTTTTGAATTTCGAAGTAACCGTGCAGTTCTGTTATTCTTCACAAATAATGCTGTTCTTACGTGTGGCACTCATATTGTAGTATTTAGTTTACTGACTTGTGTATAAGTTAAACAAATTCGACTTTAAACAGGTGGTAACCCTCTTTAAAAATATATTCTAACTCAAATATTTTTAAATCCCTTTTGTCTGGCATTGTGATATATATTGCATTTAACTGATGAATTAATTTGAATTTGATTTTCAAACACGTGGCAACTCTCCTTAAACAGTTAAGAAACATATAATTTTCAGACTCATTTCGCTTGATGCCCAACTTTTAATAAGGTCTGAAGACCTGAACCGAAAAATCCATTCGCGTATTATATATATACACTGAGAAAAAAATTCAGTTACCTCAACTAAATATGTTCTTATCAACGCTACATTTGGCTACATTTCGTTATAGTTACCAAAACATATGTTGAGAGAAATATTTTTAACTCACTTTTTCCTGGGTGCAGATATTAGGCAAATATTTGGTAGAACTACTCACATGCTGCATTGGCAGACATCAACCGTTTTACTTGTGTATCTAAAAGGAAATTTTAACTGTGTTGGGTGTTCTTTTGGTACTCGGCACCAAGACAATGAGGCTCACACCAAACACAAAACATTCCCTCAATTGAGAATGTGAGCAAAATGCGCGATATTTCCGGGATTACCATCCCTATAACTTAAAAAATAAATAACGTACAGTATTTATTTATATTCTCCTTTGCCGAGTGCGACGTTATGTATGTTTTTTTTTAAATAAATTTTTTATTTTATTTTTAGGATAACATTGAAAATGGTTTTAGCCAACGTTTTCGATGCTTCTTATTGGCACAGTTTTCCATTTTAATCTGATTTGTAGCGCACGAGGGAAATGTCGAACTGTCAAAGCTAATAGTCGCGTATGTGGTGTGGGCTAGTAGATAGGAGGGGGTGCCAGAGGAATTGTTTATATTTTATTTTTAAAGTTGTTTATCGCAAGCATAAATAAAATAGCGTCTTAGAAAATTTAATGATTATATGTACATTAGGGTGGTCCTTAAATGTAGTGAGCAAATTTTTCAGATTTCAATGCTACTATAGTCGAGGAGAGCACAAAGTTCAGATTACCCTTTTTGTCAACGTTTTAACCGACTTTAATCGAAACTAAATGTATATGTGATATCCTCGACTATAGTAGTATCGCTTTTGGGCATTAAATGAAAAAACATATTATAGTTTTTTGAGTCCTTAGAGGCATCTGGCTTTTGACCCTTCTGCGACACGCCTAAATCGACTCTAATCGAGACCAACATTTATATGTGATATCTTCGATTAGTATCGATTTTGGGTATTAGATGAAAAAAATAATAATTTAAATTTGTTGAGTCTCCATAGAGGAATCTGAACTTTCCCCCTGTGCGACACGCCTTAACCGTCTCCAATATATGTGATATCTATGACAGAGCTGTTACCGATTGAAGAGGTGCGACTGAAAAAAATCGTTCATTTGATTTTTTAAGGACCACCCCAATGTACATAAACCATACATACATATTTATGCATGCACACAGTACTATGCATATTTGTAGATATGTACCTAAGTAAGTAATAAGACTCACATGATGAATGAATGGGAAAACCAGTCTGAAAATGTGCTTTCATGTGTTTGGTTTTTATGAGTGTGCGGCTTTGAGCTGTAATTAGATATGCGTGCAAATTTATTATTCGCTAGACGAGAGCTTAAGTCACTGTTACTGAGCGGGTGACTGGGTTGTTATGTAGATAAGTCTAAAAAGTGTAATGCCTAATTGTTTTTTGAACGTTAAAAAAATTTAAATACGTTTTCTAAATAAGCGCTTTTTTGACATTGCGATTCCGCAGCAATTTGCTCTAAAACTGTGCCATGCAAAATAAACACGCACACATAGTGCACTTAGCTGCCTGCCTGGCACTGTTCTACAATATTAGTCCATTAAACTATTTGCATTTAACTTTAGGCTTCCATGAATTTGTCTTTACCTTTATAGAGTTGCTAATCACGCTGATGATGGAACCCAGGTATTTTTTTAGTTACCTCAACCGCTATGTCTTCTGCGTACTCGAATGGATTTGCCGCCTATCCGCCAGGTGGACTATATTCACGTTTGTAATCTTGGCCCCATTTCACTTTGCTCTTATTTTCCTTCGGCCTGTAAATCTTATCTTATAAATTATGCCCAGCTGTTGATGCATTCCATTCGAAAAAAAAA